TGTGTGTGTGTGTGTGTGTCGTGTCGTGTCCTATTTAGTGACGAATGCACATTTTTTTTACAAGCTTGAGTATTTCAACTGATTTCACCCAGTTTCTCCCGCTTTGGCTCAAGCAGTATTTCGCATCGCTTAATCCGGTCCACGACTTAGACACGCATGCCCATACCTGGACTAAACTATGAGCATGAGACAACAGAAATACATTACAATTTCTGACATTTTATTTCATGAAATGCCCTTGAACGGTATAACATTCTGTAATGTCAGTTTTCGTCTCACTTTTGAGAGTTTGGGTATTTCAATCGATTTCATCCTGCTTCAGCCCACGTAGTTATACCAATCATTGATTCCGGCCCGCGACTGGGACGCACTCGGCCATATCTGGAGTAAACTGAGTCTGACGCTAGAAAAATACATTCCATGCCTAAAAAGTACTCGGAAAGGCCAAGGGAATAATGATAGTCAATCGTTTCTCATACTCCTATGTCTCTCTTTAGCCCTTTTTAACTCCCAGTGGAGCATACGCCGTCAACAACATTTCTCCAGCGAAGCCTGTCCTGTGCATCCCTTTCTAGCGGTTTCCATTGTGTCTCCGCCTTTTCCATTTCCGTTTGTACCGCTCGCCTCCATGTCATCTTTGGTCTTCCTTTCTTACGTTTTCCTTGTGGATTCCACGTCAAAGCCTGTCTGATGATGCTTGTCGGGGGTCTCCTCAGGGTGTGCCCAATCCATTTTCATTTCTTCACCTATATGTCTTCCTTTACTGGCCTTTGGCTTGTTCTTTCCCACAGTTGAGCATTTGTGACTCGATCGTACCACTTGACTCCCACTACTCTTCTTAGACATCCATTTATGAAGCTCTGCAGTTTCCTTGCTGCTGATGCTGTGAGCCTCCATGTCTCTGAACCATACATTTCTAATACCCCTGCGTACTGACGGTCATTTCTCATCAGTCAAATGTCCAATATGATCTGTTTCAGAAATGGAAGATGTCCTTCAGGACAAGATCGCCACCCAGCTCCGCGAGAACGGCATCGCCGAGACCAAAGTGGTCACGTTGTCCGCCAAGATCTCACAGGCAGTCCGAGATGACGTCATCGACTCGGAGAACGGCAGGCAGCCACAGGTGAGGGGAGGGGTGGAGTGGGGGGGGGGCATACATGCTTGAGGGGAAGGTTAAGCTCAGTTTTAGTTTAGTACGGGTTTTACGGCATTTGCCAAACACAAATAGGTCGTGCAAATAAATAATGACATTAAATTCTTAGCGCTCAATCCCGATCAAAGTACACAGGCTCTAAGCGCTTATTAGAGGTTACTTGAGAATAACATAGGGAGAACAGAAGGAAGAGAGATTAGTCCAGAAGATGTATGATAGGAAAGAGGGAACAAACCACACCAGAGCCTTCACCAACCACCTACAAGGCAAGGAAGGGAAAAGGGCTACAGGACAGTACAGGAACGATTATCTACAGCAAAGTTATTTAACAACAACAACAAAAACCACACCACCAGACAGATTAACCCACAGAATCATTGCAAACAAGTGGGACAAGAGAACTTATCCTGCATACATCCGTAACGTTACGCACGATACGAAAGGAAATGGGATATGACAATTTGTTTTTTATTATTTCCTCCTTTTTATGTTTATTACTCTCTTATGTTGTAAGTGCTGTAAAATGTTCACCAACACTAAACTAAAAACGCCCCTTGTCAAAACTATGAAGAGTAGGGAACTGAACCGATAAGTATAGGCTTAGGCCGCCACGCCATCCGGGCAAAATCAAAATTAATTCCTACCACACTGAAAATGCTTAATGTGTCCTGGCGCTCTTATGGCCTTATACAGTTGCTTCTTCTTTTTCTTTTTCTTTTTCATCCTCTGTTGCCGTTAAGCGTCGAGGGGAGAGGCAGTTTACTATGGTAGGCCAGCTGCGCAGCTCTTTCAGTTGTGATGTTGTGTTTTCTTAGGGTTTCCTTGACACCCTCGATCCACTTTTTGCATGGCCATCCTCTTCCTTTATAGCCTGAGTGCTTGGTGTTGTAGGCTCTCGAGGCTGGCTGGTCAGGTGACATGCGTAACAGGTGGCCAAACCATTTTATCCTCTGTCTTTCCATGTAACGCAGGCAGGTCTCAATGCCGATAGCTGCTGCTCTTACTTCTTCATTTCTCTGCCTGTCTCGTCTAGTGATGTTAAGGGTTTTGCGGAGACATTTCATTTCGCATGCGGTGATTTTGCTTTCATGGGTTTTGCTTAAAGTCCAGGTCTGGCACTGATAACATATGTTGGTACGAATATTGGTAGATCTACAAATATACAGTTGCTAGCGCCTTAAAACACTTACCAAAAAAAAAAAGGATGAGTTGATCACGTTTGTTTCGTTTTGGGCTTTTTTCTCTTTTTCACTCCCCCTACGACACCAACCCATCCGTAGTCGAATATAAGAGAGGTATGTCTACAGGCGGGCAGACCATGAGAACAGACTTGATAGATACTTGTGTGTTTTACAGGTGACGGCCAACCTTACAGAAGCCATCAACAAACACCTGGACCCGATGCTCTACAACAGAGACGATGCCACGGACCTGAGAGACTCACAGAAGCCCAGGGACGCTATACATCTGTCAAACCTTGTGCTGCTCAGGCTGGGTGAGTGAGCATCTCTCCCTCTGTCGCCGTCGCAGTCGCAGTCTCTCTCTCTCTCTCTCTCTCTCTCTCTCTCTCTCTCA